CATGACAACTATTAAAATTGAAAACTCCCATTAATATACTAATCAATTGGTTTGTCATGTCATAAACTTTACCCATAGACTTAGCATTACCCATAGAATTAGCATTACCCATGTTAAACCTATGCCATAAACATGTAAGCTGTAATCCCATAGAAACCCATGTAATCGCTTTTTCCCATATCAAACGTGTTATTTTATGGAAGCTTCCCCATGTTAAGTATAGCCATAGGATTAACATGGAATTCCATGTTAAATCCCATAGGGTGGGGGAGTGGGAGAGGAGGGGGCCGAACGATCCTATAAACCACATTCTTCATAAATGAATTGTGGTTAAAAATTTTGACGAAAAGTTTAATAGAAACTCCACATTTGGAAACATAGAAAACCCAAACCTTAACTGAAAGTTTCAAATAAAACTCCTAATAAAAGAGCGGAGAAAATATAATTTAGAATAAATCATAAAATATGATTTGCAATGAATAAAAAGTTTCTCATAATTATTATACACTGAAAACTGGATGGATCTGAAACACAAACGAAAGGCTCGTTTTTCACAAATGATTAGAAATTATATTCTTTATCGCAAAATCTTCTTCAAAATCACGAATTGTTTTGCGGATAAGTTTTGTTATAATAGAAGGGAAATCATTGCACAACTGCTGACATGAGAATTATAGCTTCAGTTGAAAATTATTATTATTTATTCGTTCAGTAATTGTCGAATAAATTGCAGATTTATTGCCCCCCGAGGGCTACCCATCATTTTGTAGTCAAACTCAATAAGTGAATAGAAAACGCTTTTGTCTGAAAACAAAGCCAAACGATGCCATCAAATGACCACATCTTCAACAATAAAATTTCATTTGAATGCATTACTCGTTTACTTGTTTACTAAATTTGTAATATAATTCAATAAAACTTTATAATTACTACTAATTAAGGTTTACTGATAATTTTCTGATATAATAGTGCATTAAAACGCTTATTAACGCACATAAGATTCAAATATTTTTAACATCGATTTCCTTATGGTTTAATGCTTTTATTTTTAATATTAGCAATAAAACATTTATCTTTAAATTAGGCTTAAATAATTTTAAGTTTTATGATTGCTACTTGAATATGCTATAAACTTTAACTAGTCTTTAAATACTTAACTAATATTAATTTAATACTTAACTTATTGTTTAAGCTTAAAAGATACTAAAATTTAATGATTACTATATCACATATAAGGGCAGAAAATGTTTTTCTGTGGAAATTGTTTTTAATTAAACAGAAAGAAGAAAGATTAACTCAATAATTTTGTTTAATAATAAAAATTTAAGTTATGCAATTAAGTTATATTATATAATTCATCATAAATAGAGATTAATTTTTTTAAGTAAACAATCACTATTTATTACTTATTCACTATTAATTGCAAATTTTTAATCAAATTTAATTAAATTGTTAAATTATTAAATTGACTAACACAATATATTATATTGTTTAATTTATTATGTTTAAAGTATATTTTATATTGTTTTATTACAAAGAAAATTAGGTAATATTTTTGGACGTTATAATTATTTACTTAAACTAACAAATCTTAACAAAAATATGGTAATTTGTAAATTAAACATTTTGTATTATATAGAAATATTATACAATACAACTGTTGAAAACTGTTTTATCCTTTAAACATATTGTTGTGTCATTTTATATAAGAATATAAATAATTTCGTATATTTAAAAGTGTGTTTAAATTAAGTTAAATATTATTTAAGTTTATGAAGTTAAAAGAAATATATCTATTTTACCACAATTAAACTAATTTATATAAAGTTTATAATTATAAATAATAAAGATGTACGAATGGATTGATGTAATATAATGTAACAATTCTTACCACCAAATGGCCTCAATAGACGGCACGAATAATATAACAATTTTAATCAAATATAATCCAAATATGTTTAAAATCATAATTAAATGAAATTCATAGAACGGATATTTATTAATAATTCAAAAATAAATTGAATTATAAAACTTTTTATGACAACTCCATCAACTGTCACACAATGTTGAATACTTCACATTTTACTCAAATTACCAATTTAATAGTAAAGCAATCACATTATAATTAAAAGCAATATATGTAAAAAGTGATTGTATTATAATGTATTAAAATCAGTGGTCTAGTGGTGCGGTGTATCAGTCTGTCCACTAAAGCCAATGTCTCGCGAGTGTGTATTGTCTGCAAACGAAATCGTATGGATTGTATGGATGGGAGTGAACAGAGAGACTGGGCCTCCAATTGACGAACGCGAGTCTACATTAATATAACCTGAGATGACACACGCGTTGGGCAAATGGATTTGAAACATATTTAATATAAAATATATTTTTAATTTCAAACAAACGAAAAGACAAACAAAAGTTTTCTTTTTTATTAATCTTTTATTTTGTTGCAAATGGAAAATCAAATAATCAAATAATACACACAATGTTTAGTATTGTTTTTTCGGAAACATTTACATATAATTGAAAAGAATATCTTATTTGATATAAGAGTAAATTAATAATAATTATTCTACACATTAATTATTTACAAATTAAAATCTTTTTCAAGAGAAAAAACAAAACTTCAATCAATCTATTGTATGAAAAGCTGCCTTTAGATCAAACTTACATTATTTAAAATTGGTGTTAATTAAGAGTAAAAACAGTTTTGAATCAAATTATAATTAAGATATAAGTCTAAAAAACATTACATTAAAAATGAAAGGAAACAAATAAAACCGACAAATAATATGTTTGTTTCACGAAATTGTGTTTCTTTTTTAAATATTTGTAAAATTCTTATTTGTTTAACAAATTTATATTTTTCTTGTTTTGAGAGTTGTTTAACATTTTTTAAATAGACTTCATTTTTATATCAATAAATTTAATTATAAGATTAGATGAAAATAAATGTCATTTGTTTTAAATTAGCAGAAATTTCAACAATTCTCTATATATATAATCACTGCACATATCGCACTAAATCTGGTTTTCTTAATATTTCTTAATAATATATATTTATATATTAATATATTCTTATATATAATGACAAATGGACTCATATTTAAATGAATTTATGAAATATTATACGTTTCCATACAATAAAACTAATAGAAAGGTGTTTAACATAAAAGTTAGTAAATTTAGATTAAGATTCAATGAAAATGTTGACAACATATGAAAACTAAAAAAGAAAATTCATTTTATGAAAAGGACGTTAAAATAAGTCAATATGTATTGTCTAATTGATTAGAAATTTGAAAACATTTTTTCGTCAATCACACAAAATTATAATCATATGAAATAAAATACATCTAAACAATGGTATTATACATAATATTTATAATATGTATATACTATATATATTTATATATTGATGAACATCAGTGTCCGGTACAATCATGTTTAGTTTTAAGCCCCAATTGAAATCAATTGCACATTTCAAACGTTTTTCAAATACTCATTAAATTACTAAATCTTATTGATTTTGTTTCGCTCACAATTGTTAATACACTGTTGACTTGGATTCCCTTTTCTTGACTTATTTGCTAATTTAGTTAAGTAATAATAGTAAACAATTATATATATATTTCTTTGTAACACAAATGAATAGTTTTTGTCCTAAAGAGTGACTTTCAAGCCTAGACTTACAGTAATTTGATGTTTACTTTATTGTTAACAAGAATGCAATTTAAACAACAATCTATTTCTTAATACATGTAATACTGTTTAACCAATCGATGAATTAAACATTTAAACGTGAACTTCAAATATATTAATATGAAATATATTATTATCATATATTCTCTATATTAGGAAATATTTGAAATATGAATTAATTTGTGTGAAATATTGTATCAATGTAAGATTAGGTGTACAATAATGTATTAGATCTTTTAAAATATCAACATCAGTGGCACTTAATGTGTTTCTTAACAATTGTATTCATATTTAATAAGCATTTGATTAATTAGTAAAAACACATAACTATTGGCAATAATGTAATCACTAATCACTAGGAAGAAAATCTCACTATTTATCCAATAAATTTCTTATTTGTTAATTGTCTGCGAATTACGTCTACGAAGCAGTGGTCAGATTGAAGGCCATCGATAATAATGTAAGCGTTAGTCTTGATTACAATTATAATCATAACGGCTATACAGACAATGTTTAAGTGAGTAAAACATGTAATGGTTGTATTGGTTAACCCATCAAATGATGACAATCGAGTGATCTGTTAGTTGTCATAAGTTGGTCATAAAGGTGTACAACCGATCCGATTATCAGTAATTATATAAATAAAGGCATCTGTACTGTATCTATGTGTCAAACATTGGTCCTTAAAAGTGTGAGCAGTCGGGAGCAGCTCTTAATGTGTCCAACTTTTAGACAATTCAAGTGAGTGACTGTCGATTGTGTCATGTCTTGTAGCGATAAGTTATGCTTAAATTACTACCCATTTGTTTGTTATGCACTCATACAGTATATGAAGGCATTTGAATGGGGGGTCACAACACAGGAGGTTTTGTTTGATTAAAGGCAGCCAAAAGTCTTATAATATATATTTTATGTCAAAAAACATTTCTTCACTCCATATGTGATAACTTGAAGCTGTGCTACAAATCGGGGGATCATATCATATATTGTGGTCATTTCACTCGTTGTGAGCACTGTTTCAACGAATTTAATTCACAAACAATTAGTTCTTCGAAGACGTGTCCACAATATAACTGCTCTTTCCTTCACTGTATTCTTCATTTGTATCCAAAAATTGTGGACACATTTCGCAAAAAATCACTTTTAATCGTATTTTAACGATAGCTTTAGTATTGAAGAGTAAATTGAATCGAAATGTCAAGAGTTTTAAAACAGTTTTTTGAAATCATTTCGATATTGATTTGATTTTATGAAACTTTGATAAAATATTCTCTAATCAAACAAATAATCAACAATTAGGGAGTGATAGTGAGTGTTAAGCGGGCCAACCGTCGGCCGTAACCCTTATCCGCTTCTGGATCGGCCCCTCGTAGTCAGAACTACCCGATGGGTCGGGTGATGATGATGTCGATGGTGTCAATGGATGTCCTGGAGATAAATGGCCGGTTGTGCTCGAAGGAGGCCTCTGTAATGGGCCGAGACTTGCGTGATGTTGATGTGTCCCATCGCGTGGCGGAGATATGGGTTCGCTCTTCACTTTTATTGATAGGGGAGATGAAGACGGAGGAGGAGTACTACTACTCACTGACAGGTGCGGCAAACCTCCGTTACCAGGGATTGAAGCGCTAAAAAACATCATTCAATTCATTTAGTAAATAAGCAAAATGTCAACAAATTGCATTTAGATCACTCATACCCTCCGTGTGTTAGTCCGCTGAGTGAGTGCTGAGACGACCAGTTGTGGAGAAGACCCGGAGAGTTGAAGCCCGCGAGCGCTAACTCGGAATTCAGTTGAAAGTCATCTGATTTGTGGTTAAATGACAATTAAAGCGATTAGAAACGACATATGATTTGATGCTTAGATTACATACTCGGACCAAACGAGCCTAAAGAGGACGGATATCCAGGCATACCGGGGATAGAAGTGGTCACAGAGATTGCTGTGTTTCCTAAGACGCCATTTCGTGATGTCTTTAGAGCGAAAACCAATGATTAATATAAAGTTTGATAGATTTTGAAAGTAATGAAAACTGACTAAATTATTGTGTGAATTAGACATAACGACACGCATTCCTCGATTGGGATTAGAGGTGCCATTAGGTGTTGAGTTCTTGACGACCTGCGCCTGTTTGACGGACACCAGGTTTGGAGAACTGCTTCCCGACATCGCTGATGGAGAACAGGACCGATGATAACCATTTGTGGTCGGGTTTGTCATGTCTAACATTGCGTCTAAATATTTGAATATGTGTTTAATATAGTGAATGCTTTTAATGAAACTTATAATGCATTACTTGAAGAACTGGGTCGGGGACTGACACACGAAGAATGAGGTGAGAGTTGAGTGCTTTGCAATAGACTAGAATCCTGAGGCCCGTATGGCGAAGAGTTTAGGG